AGGCTGCGCATCGAAGTCCCCTTGTGGAGAGACCTGACAACTGCCAAACACCCCACTGCTGACTTGCCTGCAGAAGAAGACTCTGCCTCTGATGCTACCGGGTCAGCTGAACGGTCGCCTAGGCTTGCTCTCCCTGTGCCAGTGGGGCTTGCTGAACCACCAGAAGTTGGCACTGAAGAAGCCACGGGGGACGAGGACACGGCGGCTGAACCCAACTATGCCTTTGCCAAGGGATATGGACGGTTCGGCATAGGTTATACTCGATTAGCAACGGCGCTCGGCAATTTCGAGCAAGGGAACATCGAAGCAGAAAGTGCTGTAGTAGCTCAGTGGCTGACCTCCGGGCTACGGGTTGCCATGTCCCGCACAGGGTGGCATCTGCTGTCTCCCCGCTTTATGCTGACCAAAGTCCCTGGTGGTGTCCTCAGTGACTACTACAACCATGGATATCCCTTCGCTCCGAGGATGGCAGATCGCCCATACAGCTCATATCTCTATACCGAAGAACGATGGGATCAGCTCTGTGCATGGCTCACTGGGAACCCCAACTTTAGACTTCAACTCGCGGACCACAAGCAGGCGCTTCGGGACCACATGGGCTACAGTCAAGAAGCCTCCGGCCCAAGTAATAAAGCTCGCCGGACTGTCCCCCCGCCAGGAGCGGGAAGCTCCTCGTCGGCAGCAGGGTCTTCCTGGCACAGTAGGCCCCCCCCATCGCCCTCGCCCTATGGGTGGTCCTATGGGTGGTGGCAGTAAGGTAGTCGACAGTAGGGGTCCTCCCACACAGCAACCGTCTCCGCGTCGCTCGATCCTCTCCAAGAGGTGGGTGGCCTTAGCCACCCTCCTTCTTGTGGCCTATTTGTCATCATAGTGTTCGCAATGGCTATATTTTCGGTGTCTCAGTAGTTTGGCTCAAGCAAACTGAGCAAACACGCTCGAACTACCGCCTACGCGACAATGCCGACTCACCAAGACCGTTATGAGATCAGCCTCGAGTTGGTTACCATAGCAGGTACGGTATATGCAATGCAAGCAGACCTCTCCCATTATGAGGATGTGGCAGAGCTTGAAGACGACATTCTTTGCTTTCTGCCGACAGTCTCTGATTTAGATGTCTTCGGCTGTGAACTGGAGTTGCTCAGCCTTCACACGCAGCAACCCCTGCCAGAGGCATTTCGCACTGTGCTCCTGCAACGACCGCAACTCCAAATTGTAGTTCGTCCCTGCATGGTAGATGGACATTCCATCTGGCAGTTCCAGGACGACGGCAAGGAAAGCTACCCCAAAGCTGTTCGTGTCCCGGCCAACCCGCGACAGGAAATTGCTGACAGAGCTTTTTATGCTGCACCCTCGCTCCGGCACGTAGAAGTGGCAACTGGCATTCAACATGTAGGAACTGCGGCCTGGCAGACTTGTCAGCAACTACAAATTGTCAAGCTTCCACCCTCGGTCATAAGTCTGGCGGAAGGGACTTTCCAAGGGTGCTATGTGCTGCGAGAGGTGGCCGCTCCGGGGTGTGTCCAATACGGTCCAAGGGTGTTTGCGGAGTGCTGCTCCCTAGGTCGAGTTGGGGCCAGTCATGAAACAGAGGACAGCAACGTCCTGGCACCAGGAGCACAGCTAGGCAAATATGCTTTCGAGAGTTGCCTCACGCTTACAACCATCACCTTTGACATGGACCATACTAACAAACCTCGAGCGCTGCCTGAAGGGGCATTCTGCGGCGCAGGCATTGAACAGCTCTGCTTACCGAGTGACTTCCACAATATCGGGCCGCGGGCCTGTGAGAATTGCAAAAGCCTTGTGGAGGTCAACCTCATGGGCACAGAGATCACAGCCCTACTCTCTTCCACATTTGCCCACTGTGTAGCCTTAAACTGTATATGGCTCCCGCCGCGACTCACACAAATTGGCAAAGAAGTTTTCCTTAATTGTGTGGTACTGCAAGAAGTTGTCATCCCGACGGAGCTCAGTGACATAGGCAACCGTGCATTCTGTGGGTGTGAGCAACTGCAACGATTTACCCCCCTGGATTGGGGTGACAATGAACAGTGGGTGCAGGCAGAGCACAATGCCTTCTTTATGTGTGACAAATTTGAAAAACCCCAGAGGGTGGAGCTGCTCCCCGCGGAAGGACCCGATTCGGATGCTTTTGACGAGGAACTCTACCACGAATACTCCAAATATCATGCCAGTCCATGAGAGACTCTAGGTGGGTGCCTTAGCATCTGTCTTCAGGAAACATCCCTGGCCTTGGGAACAGCCCACAAGCAGACCCAGACACTTTTGGCTCAAACAATCATTGCAAATAGCCTGCCGCACATGGAGCTTGACGATTCATCCATGATTAGCACTCCCCCTGAAAAGGAGCCGGTCATGGAATGCTCCCTGATGCTGACCACGCTTTCGGGAGTGACTTTTCAGGTCTCTCTCAGTGTTGCAAAGTTTGACCGCTTTGAGGATCTAGAGGACCAGGTCATGGACTATCTCGTTTCTGTTACTGATCTCAAAGTATTTGGGTGCTCCATTGACTTTTTACAAACTGCCACACAGACTTACCTAGAGGACCCAATCTGGGACAAGCTACAGCAAGGCATGGCGTACACTATTGTCTTTCGGAACTGCAGTGTTATCCTGCCATCTCAAGAACAACTTGAGGATTGCCCTATCCATCACATTCCGCTAGCAGTTCATGTCCCCATGAACCCAGAAGAAATTGCCCCAGAAGGGGCCTTTGCAGGGGTTCCACGCCTGAGACACGTCAGTGTAGAGTCAGGCATCAGGCTCATTGGAGCAGAGGCTTGGCAAAACTGCCGACAGCTCCGCATAGTCAAACTGCCGGCCACGGTTGTAGGCATTTCCGATCACGTCTTCCGTGACTGCAAACTACTAAACAGCGTCTTGGCTCCGGGTTGTCGAGATTTTGGGTATAAAGCCTTTGCGGAATGTTGTTCCTTGCAATGGGTGTATGCATCGGAAGGGGTTGCAAATATGTTCAATAGCGAAGCCAAGTTTGGGCAATACCTCTTTCAAGGGTGTATTAACCTTGCTGAGTTTACCTTAAGTGAGCTTCCATCCCCCCGAGGGTCAGCACTGCAAGCTAGGACCGGTGAGTTATCACCGGGCTGTCTTAGCTCTACGGGAATCACCGCACTTGCTCTCGCAAAGCATTTTGTAGCTATCGGAGCGCACGCATGCGACAGTTGCCGACTGCTTAAGAGTGTAGACCTTTGCAACACCAAAGTTGAGGAAATTCCGGAATTCGCCTTTGTGCACTGCGCTAGTCTCAGAGAAGTCCTCCTTCCGACAACTCTCCATACAATCCGAGTCAAAGCCTTCATGAACTGTGCAGCCCTAGTTGAGCTTGCCATCCCGCCCTCACTGAGGTACATTGGAAGTAGGGCCTTCCTAGATTGCACTGTCTTTAGTAGGCTTGCCAAGATGCCAGGAAGGCATAAATGGCGAGGAGTCTATGCTGAAGAGAATGCTTTCGCCATTTGTCCTGCTATGCGATGGCCACCCTGGCTGCATATGATCCCGGACATGGGGTATACCCCTGGTCTTGGATGAAAACAAGCCTTTCTGGCCGCAGCAAGCGCGGTCTCGCAGTTACTCGTTAAGAGTCTGGGCACGCGCCTTAGCGTGAGTCCAGGGTAGGCCAGAAGTCACACCAGGACAAACTCCATAGGGGAGCTGAGAAACATCGCAATTGTACCCTTCCATAGGAGGTTCCACCCATGTGCATGTGGCGATATGCCCGCACTTTGGAGCTAGGGGCAAGCAAAGGAAAAAACTGCACATCGCAAAGGACATGTGTCCCTGAATAAACTGGATAACCTGTCTAGTCCAGGCAGCGCTGAGAGCTGTCGACACATGCCAGTGATCACAGGGAAGAAAATTGTTCAGACCTGCAAGAACCAGCAATTTCCTTGCAGCTGGAATGGGGGACAAGCAAACCGACAGCGGATTACGGCAAGTAAGATGCGCAAGCACTAAGTAGGATCACCGACCTCTTCTCGCCATTCGCAACGCTGTGAGCCAATAGGAATGAGAGCCTCAGCTCCTCGTTCCTAACAGGCGGGTGGTAGAGAGTGGCAATGGAGGATGCCCAGGGGGAACCTTAGTTCCCTTTGTTGATGTCCGACATTTCCAATTTTGCACAAAGAGGTACAGATACCATGCTAGGATTGTCCAAAGTTTCACCTGTTTCACACGGGCCTTGCACGCAGCCGATCACCTTTTGCAATGGTGCAGCACTTCACGGATCTAGAAGACACCCCTTTTTGTTTGTTGTTTGGCACCTTTGAGTGCCAAAGGGTGCTGAGTTGACCTCCCTTCGGGGGGGTGTGCCCTTTCGCACCCTTACCTGCAGGCTTTCGTCGTTTGCTATGGCCGCCACTGATTGATCGCCGCTTGGTAACATGCCACTGGACTTGTAAGTGCAACCAGTTGTACGGGTTGTGCCACAAGAAAGGTCTTTTCCACGGCGTGCTGCATAGCTACGCTACTCCATTTGACATGGACGCAACCGACGTTGGAGCGTTGCGATACTCCTGACCTGCATCGTGACCATGATTTTGCCGCACCGTGGTGTGGCCGCTGGTCACTAGCAATCGTGAAGTAAAGTCCCTTTGAAGCCTTTTTTGTGACTTTGCTAGAGCGCAGACCTGCGCCGACATGCTTTTCGTTCGTGAATTCAGGCTCATTTCTAGTCACTAGTTTTCGTTTCACCCGTTTCACCTAGCACAGAGGAAAGACTACATGATGGTGGAGACTCGGCCTGTGGGCTTTGGGTTGTTTGGTTTGGGTTGTGTTGGGTGTCCTTGTTCTTTTCTCCACCATCAGCCTGTTCTTCCCTTCCTTCAACGATGACCTGGGTACCATGCCCACACGGCGTCCGTACTCGTGGGTATCGGCAGACCACCTGCTGCAAATGGCAGCAATGCCCCTTGAGCACAAGCCCACTGCGCTGGGTATTCCGATGCGATCCCGGTCTCCTATCAGTTCGAAAAGGCCGTGACCACACAGACATGCTCGACCCCAGTCTTGAGCATAGTCTTGCACGTGCCAAATGCCTCCTGGTCGGCCTTCGTCTTCCTGAACTGCATCGTCACCTCCTGCGGGTTCTCCTCATCCCCTTGGCCTCGAGTGGTCAGCGAGACATCTTGTCCACGGAGGATCATTTCCTGGTCCACCCCACTGGAGTCCGCGAATTCACGAGCTCGGAGCATGAAGAACCAGCCCGTCACCATGGCGGCGTGCACCATCCTGCAGTCTACCTCGAGCTCGCCGAAGGACTCTGCTCCCGTGGCCATTCGCTTCCCGATCCACTTGAGCATCTGCACTGTAACTCCCAGGCGTCTTGGCCTCTTCACGGAGTTCTTCTCCAAGGAGTTTAGGACGATCCAAAGGCGGTGCATCTTGGTGGTGGTGGTGGTGTCGCCATGGCCTGCCCGCTTGTGCGCGTCCTTGATCGCAAACACCGCCTGCTTCATCGTGGCGACCGAAGTTCCCAGCCAACCCAGGTACCCGAGGTAGCCCAGCACCTTATTCTCGTTGAGGATCGGGCACCCTTGTGGTCGAGGTAGGGCGTCATCCATCCCTGTCGGCGACTCCAGTCACACCACTTCTGCCAGGCCGCTTGGTAGGCTCGCTGGGTGCTGGCTGCCTTGTCCCCCACCAGGTGAGCCTCCAACCATTCTTCCACCTGCGCTTGAATCTCCATGTCCGGGTTGAAGTCGGGGTTCAAGTCAACGAACTTGGCGCCGTCCTCTTCCACGACCTTCACCTCCTTCTTTTTGCGTCCTCCACAGCGCCTCTGCTCGACGCCCTCGAACTTTCCCGGGCCTCTCTCTTCAAGCCCCAGGGCTTCCAACCATAGCTCCTCGCCCCAGAACCACACGGTCGACGTCTGGTCTTCAAAGCCTCCGGCCTTCCGTTGAGGTTCGGTCCGTCGAAAATCTCCTCTCCTCCATCTCCGCAACCACCGTAGCAAGGCGCCCAAAGACTTGTAGTCCTCATAGTCGGCGCACATCCCTGCCTTTCCCTCGTGACCCTCCTTCGCGAGCTCTGCGGCGACCCCGATCAGGCTCAGAGCTGTTCTTCTCCGCATGGTCCAGCAGAGGCCACCGACACGGTCCGCTCATAGAGTACACGTGTTGTCTCTCGCCTCCTTCCGTGACCCAGGCATGTGCCGCCACCACCGGGAGCATCACCTCCTGGCCCACATTGATCGCTGTCTCGAACTTGTGGACGCCCACGCAGTTGCCCTCCCGCACCTTCTGCAAGTAGGTACCCATCGCTGGCGGTGTCACAGCCTTCACCATCAGGAACTCCACCGCCTCTGCTGTTTTGCTCACCGGGCAGATGAAACCAGCTACCCTCCGTCGCACCATGGCCTCACCTAGCTCGGACGTCAGGAACGCCTGCAAGATGCAGGTCCACCCAATGGCCTCCGCCCATCGCTCCATGTCAGACCACTTCACCTCGCCAGGGCCTTCGAGGACCGCCACATCGAATGTCTCACCGTCGAGGAACTGGAGGAACTCCTTGACCTTCCTGCGCTTCGGGTCCGGTCCGATGGTGCCCGCCACGATCTTGTACTCCGGGCTGCCTTCATCGCTCGAGAAGTACTGCCAGTCTCTGACATGACGACGGCCCGGTGTCCATTCAACCACCTCGACCTTGGACAGGTCCGCCGGCTGCCGGAAGATCGCCCTGAAGACCCTGAGTTCCCTCAACCGCATCAGCTCCCAACGATCCTCCTGATCAGCCCAGGACAGGAAACACAAGCCAAACCGCTCGGTGTCCTCAAGGGCCTGCTGGATACTCAGCTTGATCTCCTGACGTCTCCAACCCTTCTTCTCCATGAGCTCGACTGCCTCCTTCTCCTCCAAGCGGGTGAGGGCGTCCGCATCCTCATTGTGGAAAGTGCGCCGCCAGCCGCCCAGGATCCTGCACCTGTGCCTCTTCTCGACCAGGTTCAGGACTCGTATGACCACTCCTCCTGCTTGTGATCCAGAAGTAAACGACCTTGTTGTCCCCGGCGTACACCACCACACGGCCTTCCCACTGGTGACCCACTTTGCAGGCAAAGGCGACAAAGCTGAGCATCTCCCCAAGATGGATAGCCAACTTCTGGTCTCCTTGGCCCTCGGCTTCAATCACTTGTTTGATCCAGGGTTTCAACGTCTCGACCTCCTCCCTACAAGCAAGCCCATTTGTCCAGTCGATAGCTGCGACCACATCAGGCGTTGCGTCCGATGATACGAAAACTGGTCCTCCCCCTTGCTGACCTGGGAGCGCTAGCCGCTCAAGAGGAGGCAGTAGCTCCCTGATGTCGCCCCCGAACTTCTCGGCCCAAGTCTCAGATCGGGAGCAAAGCCATCGGCAGTCCTCGAAGAGCTCCCATAGTGCTTCCCAGGCCTGCAGCTCCTCTTGGTTGGCGGCCTCCGACCCATCCTCCCGCACCAAGCGCGGGCGAACTGCTGCCCTGCCATCCATCCCACCAAGGAACACATCTGCACTCTTGAGCTCATTCTTCAGTCCTGCCACGACCGTGCTCCAACCTGTTGCAATCCCCCGGAACCTCTGCAGCTCCTTCAGCGGGAGGTCCTTGTGCCCATAGTTGAAACATGGTTGAGCCAGGAGGTAGGCACCCTTGAGGATCCTAGCTTCTGGCAACGACATCCTCTCAGTCTCCGCATTGATGGTGAGGCCCCAAACGGTCTGCTGCCGGCTGAAGCACCCTTCCTCCGCGTCCTTGAGCTTGTTGATGGCCTTCTCCCCCAGCAGCTGTGTCACCGCCCATTCATAGGCTTCACTCGAAACCCAAGGTCTGGGGCCTATCACGGGTTCCACCAGGACCATATCGTCGACCAGGATCTTGCCGCAGAAGTGCACCTCCCCATCGCGCCGACTCTCCAAAGGCTTCAGGCCGCGGTGTACCTCCTCCGTCGCTCTGCCCCAGACGGTCCACTCCCCAGGGGACCCGGAAAACCCAAAGCTCGAGACCAAGTAGATCACCGTCAGGTTGGAGTCAAGCCCGGTCCTCCCAGATGCATCGCTCGGCCCAATCAAGTCCGGTTTCCATGGCACATCCCCAGCAAACAGTTCCGTGTCTCTCGGGTCGACCCACAACAGACGAAAAGCCCCCGCCACATCCTTCTTTGCCATAACCACTGGCACCCCTGGGTACCGGGCTTTCAACCACAGGATGCGTCTGACCACCTGCTCATGCGTCGGCTGGCCCGCTGGTGGGTGGAGGTCTTTGTGCGTTCCCCCGTTGACCTGGCGCTGGTCATGCACCAGTCTCGCCTCTGTCGACAAGGTCCGGTTCGGCAGCATCTTGGGGACGAGCTCAAAAGGCGAGGAGACTGTGTGTTCCAAAGCCGGATGCTCCGATGAGGCCACCAGCACTCGGTGCTTCAAGATGTCCTTCATCAACTGAGCATAGACCTGTCCCAAGTCTGCCCTGGCTCTCGGATGCGGCTTTGTAGCCACCCTCTCTCTTTGGCCTTGGAATCTTGCGGGCATGCCTTGGGCCCGTACTTCCCGTAGATATGCCAGGTGATCCGGATGTAGGAGGTCATCGAACTGCTGGCTATCGACGCCCTGCAGGTTGTTCCTCCCAAGGTGCTCCCGTGCAATCCACAAAGCCAAAGCCGCCTTCTCCACCGAGCCCGCCGCACTGAGGAGCAAATCCCCCCTTTCCCGGATTGAATCCCAGGCTCCAGGTCCCGTGTCACCTTCTCTCGCCTTGTCGATCTCCTGGATGTAGCCCAGAGCCGCGGTAGCCGCCTTCCCGGAAATGCCCTCCGCCTCGAAGTCGACCCATCTGCTGCCCCCAGTGTGAGTCCCCCTCCAAGACCACGAAGACCACCCTTGCCACTCACCATCGGCATTGAGCCCTTGCCAACCCGTGCCAGGTCCCCCCGACCATCTCGCACCACTACCTGGTCCACCACCAGCGTCCCCATCGGGATGGTCCTCATCGTCACCTTGGTCGTCCTCCGCTGGGATGTGCGCCCAAGGCACCTGACCGTCCGAGAACACGAAGAGGGTAGTTCCCGTCCACGGAACAAAGGGTGGCTGGCTCCTCCCTTGGGTCCTCCAATCGTCGTAGACCTCGGCAACCTCCAAGCGGCCCCGGGCATCCCTCCGTTCACACCGGGTGTACCTTTCACTGTGAAACCGGCTAGGACCATAAGGGTACGGGAGCTCATCAGGGACTGCCAAGTCATACCGCGGCTCGTTGGTGTGAAGCCAAACGTAGCCCCGCTCTGCGTCGACATCGATTCTGTTCCTTAAGCCCAGGTTCTGCCACACGATTCGTGTCCTCCCTTCCTCTGGTCGGGCTCCTGCCATCCCGGTGTCCTCCTGGGTCTCCCCCGTGCCCTCGCCCTCGAGCTCCTCCGCCTCCTCGTAGGTCTCCTCATTCTCGGGCGGAGCCTGATGGTGGTAGGTCTCCTCGCTCTCAGGTTGGGTTTGATGGTGGATCTCGACCCCATTCCAGACACCCATCTCCGCCTCAATGGCCATCTCCGCAACCTGCTGCATCTGCTCTTCATCCAGGCCCTCCAAACCTTGGTCGCCCTCGGGTTCCTCGTCATAGCCGTAGAGTTGGCGACCACCGGTCTTGGACAAGGGAGGCTGTGGTTTTGACCCCCCCCACCAACGTATGGACTAATGTCTCCACAACCGAGCGGACGAAGTTAGCGGCATAGACCCCAGCCTCAGTGCGCCTGGAGACGCTGGTCCCTGGTCTGTTGCCCTTCAAGGCGATGTGCTGGTGGGTGTCGGACAACCCCGGGCAGAGGCGAAGAAGTGCCTGTCGAAGTGGTGGGTGATGAGGGAAAGCAAGTCCCGTCCTGTGGCGGTAGTACTGGCCAGTAGTATCTGGAGGTCCCAAGCCAAAGGCGCACATGTCCACTTCGATGAAGTCCACGTCCGGCCGTTGTAACAACCATCGCCATTGCGGCAGGTGCCACTGCTTCGGGTACCGGCCAGAAGTGCCGGAGCTCTCTGCGATCGGGAAGCCGCCCTGCACCAACGATGCCTCAAACAGCGCTGCCCCGTACTCTGACAGGGTGTTGCCAATGTGTTCCTTGGCTGTCGGGAGACCGGCTGGGTTTTGGAAAGTCCTGGTCCCGCCATTCTGTAAGCACCAGTCACAGAACGTAGTGCAGGGGCTGGCGATCCATTGGACATTCGAGGTTCGCTCTGTGAGCCGCTCCATGTAGTACCCTTGCCGAACTGGATCTGCAAGATCATGTTCCGGACGGGGACCCAGCTGTTGATGAGGCTTTTCATACAACTCGATCGGCTCCAAGGCCGTCTGATTTGCTGCCCGCCACCCTTGAGTGATCACCCCGTGCCCCGCGAAGTACTCCTGCAAGACCAAACCAGGGTGCCCTTTGGCCTCGTGCACGGCTCTGGTCATCTGACCGCCTCCAGCCAAGACCTGGGACAACGCGGGTAAACAGGTAGTTTTTCTCAAACAGCCCAATGCCGGTTGCTCTTCCTGTCCTCCTCCCTTTCGGGGTTTGCAGTGCCTGCAGCACACGAGCCCTGGTGCAGTTTTTGCCTGATCGTGCCGTTGGTGCCAAAAGTATCGAAACCCCAAACAAGGTGTGTTGTACACGTCCTCGTTGGTCAGCAACTGGCGAGCGACGTCCTCCGCCGGGGGCTGTAGCAGCGTCATGTGGCCCTTCGAAATCATCACCCACATGTCCCGCTGCGTCCATTGGCTTCCAGTCACCGTCTCCAACAACACGTCGCCCTTGTAGTCGACCCGCACGACGACGATGCGCATCTCCTCCAAAGCTGCCAAGGGGAACACGGCCAGAGCTCGGTAGTCCTTGTCATGGTGTGGTGTGAGGATGTCATGGGCATACATTCTGAGTTCATGTTCCACGGGTGCCACCCTCGTCTCCGCGTGGCCCATCACCCCTTCGGCTTCCACCGCCAGTCTGGCCTGTTCCAGCCTGAAGTCCTGCGCCAACTTCTCCACCTCTTCCATTGTTGGAGCTTTGCCCTCCTGGGTGATGAGCAAACCCGCTGCGAAGACCTTAGTCACGCACTGCCGCTTCTCCTTCTCCGGCTCGATGAGGCCCAGAAGCCCGGCAAGCTCCTCCGTCATGCGCACTACCTCGCCGTAGTCCCACATAGCCCAGGATGCCTCATCAATCTGCACCAGTGCCTTCCCAGGTCCATCGTCGTCCCAACGTGTCTCTCCCACTCGACACCGAGCTTGATGTCCTGCCTTGGGTCCGCCACCATGGGTTTCGAGAAGGTCTGCTGCCTCTGCTGCCAGTTCGCCCAGACCATACTGCACCATCTCCTCCATCAACGCCTCGAAGCCTACCTCCGGGTCATTGGCGACTCTTGTGGCGGCCCAGGCATACAAATCATCCGAGGCCTCTTGCAACTTTCCCAACACGGGACCATCAGCCAATGCCTGCGCCTTCCTCACCATCTCCTGCGCCTCGAAGGGGGCCGACGTGCCATCACGCCCCGCGTGGGGCTTCGCTTCCCTCGGGACGTGGTCGAAGATGGAGTGATCTGGACCCGACACCAGCTCGGCGAAGTCTTTCTCCTGGCTGGTGTAGTCGACCTGAACCATCTCCTCTGGCGCCTTCCAACTCACCCGGCCTCCCGCCTTTTCATGGACCTCTGGCTCCCCGGCACTCAGGTTTTCACCTTGTCCAGCTCTTCGACGATCCTTTCCATCCTGCACCTTTGCAGCTTTGTCCTTTGCCACCCCCGCCCTGATGTCCTTCATCTTTTCCGCCGCCGACTCCTTTGTCTCCGCCTTCATCCTTCGGAGCCCCCCTCGACGAAGAAGTTGCAACTGGACGGCAGGGTCTGCAGAGCTTCGAAAGGTCCTTTGAGTGCCTCGTGAGCCCGTTGACACCCCGTCTGGGTGCAGCCCATGTGGGTCAAATACCCCCAGCACAGGAGTTTGCCCTCCTTGTTGGTGCTCGGTCCTTCGACCTAGCCGTCTCCTCTGCAGTGAGCTTGGGCCCATGGAGCGTCTTTAAGGTGACCTTGTCCTCCCTCGGCCCACCATCACCCCCAGCAGGTTGCCCTTGTGCACGGCTCTTGCCGGAACCTTCCCACGTCATTTTCCACAGCATTCTCTCCTGGCGCCTCTCGATCTCAGACATGAACCAACCCTCTGGTCGACGAAGGTCAAAGGTCTGTGGGAGCTCCAAAGGCGGCTTGCCGTCTTCATCAGGCATCAGGGCATAGAACTTCAGGTCCTGTAAGGTCATGGATTCTCTCCCGGCTTGCCTCTTGAATGTCCTCCTCGTTCAACTGCAGCTCCTTCCCATCGGCCAGCTGCTCCATGAACTCCTCCAGGTAGGTCATCTCTCCTCTCCGGTCCGGGGAGTTGATCATGCCCATCCTCGCAAGGCTGCGCTGCACTGACGACTTCGGAGTGTGGCCTGGGGACGCCACTCTCCTTCTCCTTGAAGGGGGCAGCGTTTCCTCCTTCTCGTCCCTGACTTCCCGCAAGATGGTCTCTGCCTCCCCTGTGTCATAGGAAACCTCCCGGACCCGTCCTCGCCGCCGTAGGCGATCTTCTCCATCTCTTTCCGGTCGATCTTCTCCTTCTTCTTCTTCCGGAGGTGGATCCCTTGCCCTCGACCTCGAACGAGAGGAGCGCCTCGATGGTGTCGGGTTGCTCGCCTCTTCATGAGTTCCACACACTCGCAACCCATGCTTGGAGAGGTTCCCTACCCGGTTACATCCCCCGTAGGAGCAACGCAGTGACGTTCGAGAGGTGAGGTAGCTGACGGCGTGCTTGGGGCAGAGCTTGAAGTCCTGGTCCCCGCTCAGCCCGGCCCGGTCCTCCTCCAGGTACTCGACCTTGTTGCTGGCAGGTTCCTGACATGGGTTCTCACTCAAACATCCCCGTC